TAGGACTTATAAATAATTTTTCCTTACAATTACTTGTGAACTTATGTAAGTAATCATGAATTGTAATCCAACAATAACATAAATTATCAAAGAGTCTTAAATGTAAAAGATCATATAGATTCTTTATATTAAGACATGTACAAAATGGATGAATAAACCAAATCACATAAAAAAATTGAGATGTTATCATATGCAATCTAAATTCATTTTTTGATAAATCAAATACACAAATTCTAAAAACTGTACCAATAAACTCATTAGTCACCAGGGACATTGGCGAATAAGTCAAATAAAGTCCAAAAGTTTCGTCAATCAAACATTATAGAGAACAAAAACCAAATTAATAAAATTTGTAAAATGTTATGGAGCCGTACATTGTTATTTCAAAATCATTTCATAGACTTCGGATATGGAGATACCAAATTCATAGAACCTGAGTTGACTGCAAAAAAAGAACTGATTCTAGTTGCTAACAAACAGAATTAATCAATCTAATGTTTGCAATAAAACTAATGCTTTTCATTTGAAGAGTATGCCAGTTAAAAAACTCAGAGACATGTATAAAAAAAATGGGCAAATTACAACGGCAGTCTCTGTACTTTAGTTCTTGTGTCATTTTAGTTCTTATAATTTCAATTGGTTTGATTTTGACTCCAAATTTATGATTTTGTCCCAATTTGGTCTAATTGATAACAATTCTTTGTATTTGTTTACGAAAAATACGTACATAAGTGTCAAATGTTATATTTTTAAGGATAAAATTAAAAACTTATTCAACTCAGTTAGTTAATCTCAACAAATTTAGTGATATTTTTTCTTAAAAAACACTAATCATATTATTTATTAGACCAAATTGAAACAAAATCGAAAATTAATGGTCAAAATTAATTGAGTTAATTGAAAATGTAGGGATGAAAATGATACAATTGGTAAAATAAAGAAACCGCTGGTGTAATTTGCCTTAAAAAAAAAATCTATATAACAAAATTGAATGGACATGTTTCACTAAATCCAAACATGCATATGTATATGTAATCTGGATATATACATTGAGAGGGGAGATTTGCGCTGTTAGTACGGCCGAGCAGGGATTGGACGAGTCTGTTTTGCTCGGTCTCGAGGATCGGCTGACCGGGCGGAAACCAAGCCTGGCCGAGCTGCGACTAGCAAACATTCGGCGGTGCGCACAGCTAAGAGGCGAGACCGAGCTACGGATAGCTCGGGCTAAACCGTGGACAAGGGAGGGATGACGCGTCTTTGACCGGTGAGCCGAGATGGGAATATTCAATATAACCTCGGATGAAGGTAGAACGGACGGGGGCCGGCATGCCTCGCGACCGGTATGCCACGACGAACCGGTCAACTCCAGCCTGGTCCATGGCTCAGAGACATGTATAAAAAAAATGGGCAAATTACAACGGCAGTCTCGGTACTTTAGTTCTTGTGTCATTTTAGTGCTTATAATTTTAATTGGTTTGATTTTGACTCCAAATTTATGATTTTGTCCCAATTTGGTCTAATTGATAACAATTCTTTGTATTTGTTTACGAAAAATACGTACATAAGTGTCAAATGTTATATTTTTAAGGATAAAATTAAAAACTTATTCAACTCAGTTAGTTAATCTCAACAAATTTAGTGATATTTTTTCTCAAAAAACACTAATCATATTATTTATTAGACCAAATTGAAACAAAATCGAAAATTACTGGTCAAAATTAATTGAGTTAATTGAAAATATAGGGATCAAAATGACACAATAGGTAAAATAAAGAAACCACTGGTGTAATTTGCCTTAAAAAAAATAAAATAAAATAAAATAAAATTGAATAGACATGTTTCACTAAATCCAAACATGCATATGTATATGTAATCTGGATATATACATCACACTTACATTGCAAGAATAAAGTATCAATCACGCAATGTTGATTCAAAGAGTACCTATAAATCATGAGACTACAATCTACATGCTATGGAACACATCGTATCGCAACAAATGCGAATCTATTGATATCATCCCCTCCAGTCAGTGTCACCATTCTCAACCTTACTCCCTGCAACCGGTTTCCACCTTCCGCCGCAACCTCCCTCTCCCTATTCAGCTTTACCGATGGTTCTCTAATCCATCTTCCATCAAATCATACTTTGCCGTTGTGCCTCATAACTTACTGGTGGAATGAGAATTTTCTTTTCTTTTTTTTTTTTTGTTGGGGGGGTGATGGAGGCATAGTTTGTGCTACATAATCTCTAGGATCTCCATATTTGGTTGGTAGACATATTTTTCAAGTTTTTTTGTAAGCACATAGACTGTTGAAGATTTTGAAATATACAATAACTATAGACTATTATATATAGCGAAGAGAGAGGGTGACTTGATATGAAAAGAGAAACCATAAATTAAGGAATTTTTGTATATTATATTTTTTTTAAAATGGGTTGACTAGATAAATTATTTTCATGTATAATTAATTTTTTTTTCAATATTTTTGGATTTTTTTATAGATGGTGTAGCCAATAGTTGTTTTTAAAATTATTTTATAAATTGAAAATGTAAAAAAATTGGCCTAAGGTCCTGGAGCTCTAAGAAAGCTCCCACATTAGAAATCTCATTTTTCTTAATATATATATATATATATAGATATAGATTTCTGTTATGATTGTTGTGCGGTGGGATGATCGAACAGGTCAATCTGCAAAATAGGGTTGGAAAGGGTTCCAATTCCAATTCATTTTAATTTAATTGGGTCATTCTTTTTCTTTAGAATCTCAACCATTTTTTTCCTAAAATACTGGGAATGATCATTTTTTTTTCACAAATTATAAGACTAATTTGACCTTGTTGGATAAATCATGCTGGAGCCCCTTTTGGATCCGTTTGTGAATTAGAAAGAAATAAATGGTGAAAAATGAAAATGGTAGAAAATGAAGTGAAAAAAAGAAGAAAAAAGAAAAAAATTATATAATGTATATGTTATCTTGTACAGTGGCAGAGCGAGTGAAGGGCCAGGAGGTCACGTGCCCCCCTTGAATTTTTGGATTTTTTTTTAAATTTTGCAAACATAAAGAAAATATTTTAAATAAAAAAATTTGCCAAAATATTATTAGAGTGAAATGTCAATGACATTTTAAAAATTATGAGACCAATAATAGTTGTTTTAATTGAAAATGAAGAGACTACTATAAACCATATTATCTATGAAAATTTTTGAATGTAACACTGATATCATTATTATTGACATACAAGTATAAGTAATCTCACTATAAAGATATGAAATTAATTGGATTATTGACATCACATATCAATAATTACGTGGTATTACCATTATATTGAATTTTTAATCAAATTTTGTATTAAAAAAAAAATTATCATTACATAATTTATTTTTAGACTTGTATCCAAATTTTTTTTTTTGTATTGTTCATGATACACTAGTTACAAGTAACATCATTTTTTTGATATTTCACAAAATCAATAGTACAAACTTGCATGAAATATTTTTGTAAAATTTTTTGATATTAATAAGTGCCCCCTCTAATTTAATTTTCTAACTCCACCACTAATCTTGTACGAATTTGATTATGATAAAAATTTTATAAGAAAAAAGAGAGAATAGAAATTCTAATTATGAGTAACTTATGTCCTTTTTTGTTTAATAACAAATTAATCTCTTATATTTTTTGCAAGTAACTATAAGGTTAGTTATCATGCTATATTATGTGTTGTAGAACAAAATTAATTTTCTTGTGAGTTTCAGCACTTTCTTGCTAAATAAATTCAGGAAAAATCAAATGTATTTTTCATTTCCTCACTTTCCACCACTTTCATCTTAATCAAACTTAGCATTTAGGGGTCTTACTCATGCTGTAATACTTTATCGCTTGAGATCAAATTTTTTCCTTAAAACTATTCAATTGTTTGTGCCTTGGATAAGTTATCCTCACATACGATATATCTCATGTTTTTTGCTAGATTATCCTATTATTGTCATATCTACGACATCATGAATGCATTTCACTTAACAAATTTAATCAATGAATCATAAGGTGAATCCAATGTCATGTAAGAAATAAGGCTGTCTGACTTGGATGTTGGTTTGTCCCTTCATTAGATATAGGAAATTTTCAATTTATTGTACTTACAATATGAATGGGTAAAGTCTATGTAGCACACAGTTAGTAACACCTGCTCCAACCTAACTTTAGTTTTTTAAGTGATTTTGTTCATTTGTAAGAGATAAATTATAAATATTATGAGAAGTAAATTTCAATTATGGAGGAAAGTTGAACACGTACTCATGAGCATACAACAAACCCAACGAACATATGAGAAAATCCAACAAATATATGAGAAATTTAACAAATACAAGAAAGATTCCAAACAAATATAAACGGGAAACAATATTCCTACATCAAATTACAAGAGTACTATAACCACAGAAACACAAAGTTTTATTATTTAACAAGAAAGAGCATTTTTCTCCACACTCTTGTATTTAACAATAAAATTACTTGAATTATTAATTTAATTATGTATTTAACATGCGGACAACAGATGGCGCGTGCGGGCGCGTGTGAGAGTGGTGGCGGAGCTGGTGACGCGCCGAAGGTAAAGGCGGCGCGTGTGGGCGCGTGGAGGGTGTTCTGAGAACGGGCTAGGTGCCGTTGGAATCGTGAGAAAATTCCGAGCGTTTTGATGTATGCCACTGTGTACGGGACTAAACACAAAAATTGAAAATTGCCAGAAATGTAACACTGGGCTCTGATACCATGAAAGATTAGTTTGAGAGAGTGAGAGAAGCTATAGAGTGAGAGAGAGACTCTGAAATGTTTGTATTATGTTGTGTGATTTACAAAGAGATGAAGGCTCTCTTTATAGAGAGAGAAAGGGGCATTGGATACCACCATTATCACCGAAAGCAAACACTATACAATTAATAATATAAAGTTAAAGCTAGTCTATCATAAAGCTATACAAATAATAATGAAGTCTGCTAAAGCTATGCTAAAGCTATTCTAACATTCCCAATCAAATATGGATCAATAACTTGATCTATGGTTCCATTTTTTACGCTACTTTTGAACCAATGTACTAGTGTTGCCTTATGCCCATGAAAATGTAACTTCTTGGAACACAATACTACCAACAGCACCACACCAAATGAATACACAACAGCTTTTTTCGACAACGTTCCATGCATAATGTACTCTGGTGCCATATATCCAGGAGTGCCGCAGATCCCTGAATCCAATATTGCTTCACTTGCATCGTCATTGGGTATAAGTTTGCAAAATGTGAAATCACTAAGTTTTGCAACCCAATTTTTATCCAACAAAATATTCACCGGCTTTATGTCACGGTGGATGATTCCCTGCTCTACACCCACATGGAGATGTTGCAGTCCTCGTGCAGCACCAATGCAAATATCAAGTATTTTTTTCCTTAGAAGTGGACCGTTGTCATTTGTTCTGTATAGATGAGCATCCAAGGACCCATTTGCCATGTAATCATACACAACAATTAACTCTTGTTTTTCAATGCAAAGTCCTATCAAAGAAACTATATGGGGGTGACTTCCAAGCAGGGAATGTAACTTAATCTCAGTCGTAGCTATTTTTTTTCCAGTCCCATCACTCCGAATCTTTTGATCGCAACAACACGAGTTTCCCTATCCAAAAACCCTTTATACACGTTGCCAAAACCACCATTTCCAAGCAAACAACCCTTATTGAAACCATTTGTGGCTGCTCGAACATCAGCTAGTGAAAAACGACGGAGTGGTACGATAACATCTTGAATTGATTCCCAAAATGAATCATTTGATGGTCCACTCTTAAAACCACCGTCCTTTCTCTCCCTCCACCAACGATTTATACCTTTAGACACAATTGCAATACCCTGAAGCACCTTTTCGATTATTCCCTTTGATCGTCCTTTACGTTGTGACAACAATGCAAGATCAAGAGTCTCCATCACTTCAGCCATTGTAGGCCTTTCCTTTGAACTAGTATGTAAACAATTGTAGGCAACTTCTACAAAGTACTTTAGTCTCCGTGGTGTTATTTGTCCAATCAATAAGGGATCAACGATTTGATAAACCTTTCCCTTTTTAATCTGTCGTTGAGCCCAAAGGATTAAACTAATTTCCTCCTCATCGCGTCTTGTATCCACCGGCGGCCTCCCACAGAGAACTTCCAACAACACCACACCAAAGGCATACACATCAGATTTCTTGGTTAGTCTGTGGGTATAGAAATAATCTGGATCAAAATACCCAAATGTACCTTTGACTTTTGTGCTACATGGGTTGCTGAATTGCTTGTAATGCCTTTGGACAACCCAAAATCTGAAATCTTGGCTACCCAATTCTCATCCAACAGAATGTTTGTGGTCATCACATCTCGGTGTATGAAACTTTGATCGGTACCAGTATGAAGGTAGTCTAACCCTCGTGCTGCACTGATGCAAATGTTGAGCCTTCGCTCCCATGTGAGATGAAAAGTACTAATTTCAGTTTGGTTTCTCCTTCTTTTATAGAGATGATCGGCTAGGGTTCCACCAACCATATATTCGTAAACAAGGATCATTTCTTGGCAGTCGCAACATTGACCGATCAGAGCGACGAGATGAGTGTGTCGGAGCTTAGACAACATCTTAACCTCATTCCAGAACTCCTCTGCGCCTTGGTTGGACTCTGCATTCAACCGCTTTATGGCCACAGCTGTAGCACCGTTGTCGATGAACCCCTAATATACCTTACCAAATCCGCCAACCCCAATAACTAATTCTTCATTAAAGTTGTTCGTCATTGATTGTATCTCAGCAAATGAAAAGTGACGGCATGAACACTCGGATTCAGTCACAACACTTGAAATAGCATCCTCAGCACCTAAACCTGACATATCTGCGTATGTTTAGTAGGTTGAGTGTTTGAAGATGATCAAAGATGAGTTTTTGAGAGATGAGAAAGAAAGACAGAGTGATCACTGATTGAAACAGAGTTAATCTATGTTGGGGACAATGCAATTGGAGCTGCCAAAGTCATTTTATAGCGTGCAGAAAAAATCCTCTCCAGTGGTCTGCCATAACTCATTCTAACAGCATCCACAATGCAATGTTGTTACTATAATACCATTACTATTATTATAATTTAACAATAAATAGTGATATTTTGTCAAATTATAATAATGGTATTTCAATAGTCACTTGTTATTTCAACAATTCTTAATCAACTTTTTCTCCAAGTTTGTATGTATTGTTTGGATATAGAATTTTTAGTAATTTTATTTTTATTTATTTTTTGTCTTTTGTGATATTTTTTTAACTGTTTGTAAAAAAAAAATTATATACTTTTATTATTCCCGACTAGACAAATATAAAAAATAAAAGATAAATTGAAATTCATATATATATATATATATATATTTGGGAGCTTTTTTGATAAATCCACTTTCTAAGAGTTTTATTTCATCCAACCTATATTCTTTTTTACTATTCCATTAGGTCCTATTTGAGATAAGAAGACCAAAATACCCTTTTCATCTACTTATGTTCCATTTAGTTCACATTATTTTCTTATGTTTCAATAAGTCTTATGTGTGACATAATTACCAAAATACCCCTAATGTGAATGTTTACTTCGTCAATGTGAATGTTCATATCGTCAATGTGTAGGGGTCCGGCCCATGTCGATCCTCGTGGGTGCCCGGAAAAATTTGAGTCAGGCCAGGGCAGGCCCGGCCCATTGACAATGTGAATATTCACATTGACATGTTAACATTCACATTAATAAGAGTGTAAAATTGGCCCGCATCCCGTAGCGGCATGAAACCCGCCCGCAGCCCGGAGCAGTCCTGATCTGGCCCGTTAACAATGTGAACATTCACATTGACATATTAACATTCACATTGATAAGAGTATAAAATTGGTCCGCGGCCCATGGGCGGCCAAAAGCCCGCCTACTTCCCGGGGCGGGCCCAGCTCGGCCCAGCCCGTTGACAATGTGAATATTCACATTGATATGTTAGCATTCACATTGATAGGAGTATAAAATTAGTCCGCGTCTTGTGGCTGCCTAAAACCCACCTACGGCCCGTGGGTGGCCCGGGGCGGGACGGGTCCGGCCCGGCCTGTTGACAATGTGAATATTTACATTGACATGTTAACATTCACATTGATAAGAGTATAAAATTGGCCAACGGCCCAGGGCGGACCCGGCCCGGCCCGTTGACAATGTGAATATTCACATTGATAGGAGTGTAAAATTAGCCCATGTCTTGTGGCTGCCCGAAACCCGCCCACGGCCCGTGGGCGGCCCGGGGCGGGCCTGGCCATTTTTTTTAATTCTTTTTAATTTTTTCTACTAAAATTTTATTATTTTCCATAAAAAAGACAATAGGCCTCGGCGCGGGCCGGGCCTTGGACCGAGCCTTGAATGGGCCTTAACCGGGCTAATGGGCTGGGCTGGGCTTCACAGTGATGGCCCAGGCCCTAGCCTAGGGTCTCGGACTAGGCTCAAGCCTGGGCCCAAACGAGCCTTTCCCAGGCCGAGTCGGGCCGACCCACGGGCCAAAAAATTGGACCCAGGCCCTAGTCTTGGCACAAGGGTATTCGGGCTTTGGACGGGCCGATGGATCGAGCCTCGGGTCGGACCGGTGGGCCTGGGCCTAGCCTCGAGCTTAGGTTGGGCTTGGACAGGCCTGGCCATTTTTTTTTAATTCTTTTTAATTTTTTCTACCAAAATTTTATTATTTTCCACAAAAAAATACATTGTGCCTCGAGCGGGCTGAGTGTCGGACCGAGCCTTGAATGGGCCTTAAGCGGGCTGATGGGTCGGGCCGAGCTTCAAAGTGATGACCTAGGCCCTAACCTAAGGTCTCGGACATGCTCGGGCCCGGACCGAAACGAGCCTGCCCCGGGCCGTGGGCGGGCTTCGGGCAGCCCACGGGCCGCTGGCCAATTTTACATTCCTATCAATGTGCATTTTAACATGTCAATGTGAATATTCACATTGTCAACAGGCCGGGCCGGGCCTACCCCGGGCCACGGACAAGCTTCGGGCAGCAGGCAAATTTTACACTCCTATCAATGTTAATGTTAACATGTCAATGTGAATATTCACATTGTCACAGGTCGGGCCAAGCCCGCTTCGGGCTGCGGTCGGGCTTCGAACCGCCCACAGGCTGCGGGCCAATTTTACACTTTTATCAATGTAAATGTTAGCATGTCAATGTGAATATTCACATTGTCAACGGGCCGGGTCAGGCCCGCCCTAGGCCGCTGGCCAATTTTATACTCTTATCAATGTGAATGTTAACATGTCAATGTGAATATTCACATTGTCAACAGGCCCGCCCTGGCCGCACCATGGGTCGTGGGCGAGTTTCGGGCAACCACGATGCGCAGGCTAATTTTACACTCCTATCAATGTGAATGTTAACATGTCAATGTGAATGTTCACATTGGCAACGGGCCGGGTCGGCCCGCCCTGGGCCACTGGCCAATTTTATACTCCTATCAATGTGAATATTCACATTGTCAACGGGCCGAGTCGGGCCCGCCCTAGGCCGCTGGCCAATTTTATACTCTTATCAATGTGAATGTTAACATGTCAATGTGAATATTCACATTGTCAACAGGTCGGGCCGGGCCTACCCCGGGCCGCCCATGGGCCGTGGGCAGGTTTCGGGTAGCCACGAGGCGCGGACTAATTTTACACTATATCAATGTGAATGTTAACATGTCAATGTGAATATTCACATTGTCAACGGGCCGACCCCAGGCGGCGGGCGGGCTTCAGGCCGGCCCTAGGCCGCGGGCCAATTTTATACTCTTATCAATGTGAATGTTAACATGTCAATGTGAATATTCACATTGTCAACAGGTCGGGCCGGGCCTACCCCGGGCCGCCCATGGGCCGTGGGCAGGTTTCGGGTAGCCACGAGGCGCGGACTAATTTTACACTATATCAATGTGAATGTTAACATGTCAATGTGAATATTCACATTGTCAACGGGCCGACCCCGGGCGGCGGGCGGGCTTCAGGCCCGCCCTAGGCCGCGGGCCAATTTTATACTCTTATCAATGTGAATGTTAACATGTCAATGTGAATATTCACATTGTTAACGGGCCGGATCGGGCCCGTCCCGGGCCGCCCATGGACCGCGGGCGGGTTTCGCGCCGCCACGGGACGCGGGCTAATTTTACACTCCTATTAATGTGAATGTTAACATGTCAATGTGAATATTCACATTGTCAACGGGCCGGGCCGGCCCCGGCTCGCGGGCAGGTTTCGGGCCGCCCACAGGCCAATTTTACATTCCTACCAATGTGAATTTTAAAATATGAATGTTCAAATCATAAAATTGCTAACCGTTCAAAAAATATTTATAAGGGTATCAAAATTAAATATAAGGGCATAAGTATCCAAGAAAATAGTGTAAATCAAGAAAAGGACTTTATGAAATAAAACTATACATACACGGGACTAAATGAATTAAAAAA